ATATATATATATATATATATATATATACACACACACACGAAAGTTTCAACTTTAATACACGCTTGGAAGACAAAGGTTCGTGTCGACGCACATATCCCTAATTGTAAGTTTATTCATGTTGGAAACACTCGTGAACATATCACGCACGTGCGCGAATTACGAGGTTACGAGGTACGACGTTACTCTTCCGATTAACCGTTCTTCTTCGACTCGATGCGTTATATTTCCCTGTAGTTTAGTATTTTAGTAGGACAACCGCAACCAACCCGAGACGATTGGTCGATGAATGAAAATCCCGACACTAGGAATCTCTATCGTTGGATGTTAGGGAGGACGTTGGAACGGTTGGAACTTCCGTCGCAAAAATTACGACCAAATACTAAACTTCTGGCGTATTTGCTCGAGTATTTCGTCTCCTTTGGCTTTCTCTTGCCTTCGTTCGACCATCCGCGGCAAACAAATTTACGCGTCATTCAGATATGTCACTTGCGCGATCCATTGGGCTATCCATTGACTAGCTAGAGCTAACGAATTCGATGCGACGTGTTGTTTAGGTAGTTGTTAAAGGTAGTTGAAAACACGACGCGATAAAGCTCGCGGAACGCGTCGCGGTTTTGTTTCGCGAACGAAAATGCTAAGGAGATAAACTCGTTAGACATGGGAGAAGACAAATGACACGAGTTGTCATCGTTTGTCGCGTACGGCAACAATCGAGCTAGCAGAGCTAGCAAAGCCTCTTGTTCGTCTCTCACGGGGAAGGCGAGCCTGCACGATCGCGTCCTGTAACGTATATATTTACACGATATGTTACATCGAGAATTAGAAGATAAAAATGAAACGATCTAACATCGCGTAGCGATCGTCACATCACATATAAAATGCAGATACCACACACCTTGATCCACGAATGATTTTTTTTTGCAAATCGTATCGCTGTTTCACTTCGACCAGTTATTACTCTTGAAGTAATTTTTAATTCTCGCGCAGCGTGGAATCTATCAACGCGTTTGTCGTTCGGTCGTTCGGTCGTTCGATCGTTCGAATTCAGTAGATATCTAGTAGTTGAGTCTTGTCATTTGCGACACGACACGCTTGCGGCAACTTACGGTCGTTAAATGTAACACTATGTACATTACATCTGAGAAACGGAAGGAATTATGAGACCTGAATGATTAAACTATCCTGAATGATCTGTGTATCGCCGCCGAGAT